GTGTTCGAACTGGTTTTGAGGATGGCACACTTAGTAGTGCTCAAGGTTCTATCTGCGCAAGTGTCATGTTTGCTGAGTATGACGAAAGTAAAGTTTATGTAGAAAGTTCTTATATGGCTATGGTTTAGCCGTGTTTTATTTAAATGACTAACCTCATTTCAAATCCATTAACATTAGATCAAGGTTAAGAACAAATTCACGTGCGTATGCATGTGTTGGATATTAGGCAAAAATTGTTCGCGAGAAGTTCTCCTGTGTGAATAAAGATGAATAATCTATGCAGTTGTTATTGAATTAGACCCAGTGATTTTAAGGTAATTACAAAACCAAACACACCGACCCGAGCTCTTATTTTTATTGAGTATTTGCACACTGCTGTCAGATATCCAAATGTGGGTAAATTAGTGAGACAGTGTGTAATGACTTTCATAAGGGTTTGTTTAAGGTCAGGACCCTTTTGTGTGTTGACACAGCTGCCGTAGAGGCACTGCGGAAGAAAGACATGGGGAAGTTTATGTAAAGCCGGCCGGAGCGCAGGGTCAGGACCAATCATGGCATGTATACATTTGTGCATTAAATGCAAATTTGGGCATTTCAGCTCCTTCACGACAGAAATATTGGTCTCCTGGATGTGGTATTTCTATTGCATTAGCAAAGTAGGGTGGATACGGTTATGTTTTTGTTAGTTGCGCCAGACCACTTGATGGGGGTAGGGCAGCGGTTGCTACCTGCATTTCAAGGCTCTTTTGTCCAGATTCATCTCTCAACATGGCCCCAGTGCTGTCACCAGAGCGGCGCCTGTATGTAGCGCTACAAACTAAAGAAGGGAAATGAGGATTGCATGCTCATCAGTTCTTGAGCTCAACCACTAGTGACCTTTGTCCTTTACAGACTTCCTTTAGGTGTGTGTATTAGAATATCTCTGACGTGCAAAATAACCCCAAAGTGGGTCATGCATTAGACGCGAACTATGAACACTTTGCTAACTTTGTACACCAAGTTGTTACTGAGTTAAAAAGTTGTTTTATTTTCCTTTATTACTGCTAGATCATTTTAGTGCTCTGGATTTTGTGTGTATAACTCCAAATGCTAATCACATTATATATTATCATTATATTATATAAATCTCCAAATCTCCAATGGCAGTTCAATTTCACTTCTGTTACTGAGCATCCAAAATTCTAATTATGCAACTGTTCCAGCACAGATTTTAGTGCTCTGGATTTTGTGTGTATAACTCCAAATGCTAATCACATTATATATTATCATTATATTATATAAATCTCCAAATCTCCAATTGCAGTTCAATTTCACATCCAAAATTCTAATTATGCAACTGTTCCAGCACAGGTAGCCATCCAGACTCCATCATCTCAATCTTAACAGCAGGCCGTCCAGCGATCTATTCAGATATATCAAGAATCAACGTGACACACTGTAATTATCTTTTAACTTTAAACTTTATGATGCTCGACTGCTCATTCGTCTTCTCCGCTCAACCCATGGAGCTTGATTAGCATCTAGATGTCACAATGTGATGGGGCTCACCTACGTGAAATGGTCCATGAACACACAAGCTGATATGACTTGTATCTACTGATCACTTTGGCTCGACTGACATTTCAGGCTTTGTCTGTGACTGTCTACAATGAAACGGATGGGAAATTTCTGGACTTGGCAGTGATGACATTTGGATGAATGGAGCTGGCTTTGCATTAGGTGACTGGAAATATTCAATCGTTTCACATAGGGCTGGGTTTTGACACAAATTTCACGATTCGATTCGATTCACAAGCTTGTGATTCGATTCGATTACCAATTCGATTCGATTCGATTCAATATAGATTATTTTGGATACATATCAGGGACAATACATTCCAAATGTTCTCAAGGAAAAAAAATCTCTCAACTAATGCTGTAAAATATACATGAGAGTTAGTTGGTACTACATTGCTATAATATTGAACATTAAAATTGACTGATTTGTGCTGTACAACTGCTTAAATTGCACTTAAAACGTTTTTATAATAATTAAGTTACAATTACTTAGTTAGTTTTTTTAAAATATACACATTTAAATAATGACTGTCATAAAAACTTGGACGGATTTATTCAAACATAAATAAAACATTAAAGAACGGTAAAAAAAATATATATAATGAATGTTATATGGTGCATATATTTAGCAAAATGCTCCTCTCTACAGTTTATTTTTCTGGCTGACTAACGAGTTTATGGTTACGGAATATGTTTTTCTGAGGTAAATGTGATGTTACATGAATTGTTTACAAGCCGTTATATTGACGTCTTTGCGTGGCTGAAACAGTGATTGAGCAATAACATGAGGCAGGATACGGATTGCAAAGTTGTACCCTTTCTTTTAACTTACCTTCAGATGTTTAGTCATGTTTATTTTGTGCTGAAACTGGTATTAATGTGGAGAAGATGATCAGTTCACGTGCGCCTCGCGCTGCTGCGTCTGTTGAACTGAGGCGCTACAGCGATCTGTCACTCCACATTAAACAGCGTCAAAACGGCATTTATTGTTTGAATACTGCAATACAATGGACAGAATTTAAAATCTCAGACTTTGTTTCATATTAAAAGTACCAACGCACAATGCTTATTGCGATTTATAGGATGGGAGGTGCACTTCAATGTTCCATCCATTAACTGAAAACAGGCTAGACTAATCGATACTTGGGATTTAAGAATCGATATCGTTTAGTAAAAATGAGAATCTATTAAAATCGAGATATCTATATTTTTTACCCAGCCCTAGTTTCATGGCACTGCACTTTTGGTACTGTCCACTGCAACTAAAGCAAATGACAGTCAGTATTAATAATAAATATTTGTCTTTTACTTTTTCACAGAAATGTTATTCTACAATATTATGTGGTAAGTACGTCTTATATTGGTACTGAGACAGTCAAATCCCCACTGCCTTTTCGGTGTCAGTTGAACTTGCTTTGAACCTCTACCCTCTTAAGGAAAAACCAATATCATGTTTATCTGTGTAATCTCATTGTTCACACTTTGTGTATGTGTGAGTACAAGACACTCCCTGTGTTTTCACCTTTCGTGGAATTCACTGTACATCCTTACTTGGAGATACTGCTGTGTCATGTGACCACTGATAGATGGTGATGGAAAATGGGAGATACCGAATTTCAGATGTGACAGAAATGTTAAAAATGACATATATTTAAATCAATGATTTGGGTCTATTCTGTATATTCCTTTGTCAGGATAGTGCCATATTTAATTTTGAAAAGAATTAAAACGAGTCTGTGAGGAATAGAAATACCGTGCGTTCAATGGACTGTACTGTTGAATAACATCATACCAACTGTTCAGCTGATGAAACATATTTCACGAGTTCACACTTAGATATGATCAGATAGAGTAAAGGTTATGCATATTTGGTGTGCTGTCCGAGGGGAGGGTTCCAAGCTCGGAATTTGGCCCGAACCCAAAGTACTCCCCCCGTGCCCCTAGCTGGGAATAGGATCAAGCCAAGAGTGAGGAGATAGGGTGGTGGATGGATATGGAAAACTGTGGAGGAACGTAAGTGAGTCGGCTATGAATATATAGGCCTCCTCTCACGCTGATTGGGTAGATCATTTGAACGTGCACCTCCCGAACTTTGTTTATAAAACAATTTATGAAAAATAAAAAAACTTTCCGAAAACTCCATAAAACAGTTTTGTAGGTTGTGAAAATTAAGTGATCTAGGACATTTATACAGTGCGTGCCACTGTAAGTCTCGCTTTCATCCGCGTTAAATTCAATATGGCGTCTAACCCGATTAAGATCTTTTAACTCGGACTTCTAAAGAATATCCAGGCCGCTCATTTCAATAGCTATAATTAACGAGAATGAGAACTGGGACTGTTTTGGTGTTCTAATTTAGGATGTTATTTAAAATTCCTCCTTTTGTGTTCCACAGAATTTAAACCATATTTTTGAAACGACACGAGAGTGAGTAAAATGACAGATTTGTCATTTTTAAGCGAACCATCCTTTTAAATGTCTTAAGCATTTGTTTGCTGTATCTCAGTTGTGTAATTATTCCCTCTGAGACGTTATCTTTTGCACATACCGTGTGATGCATTCATATAACTGTCACCTGAAGAAGGATTTTAGGTATTTTTCTCTGTTTACATCGAGCCGCCTTAGTCTAGCATTCCATTGTTGTCGGGCCTTGAAAGGGAATATAAATGGTTAGATTTGAGGATTAGAGACAGGGATTTGTTTAGAGCAGCAGCATGAGATAGATGGCAGTGCTGTGTTCCGTTTGCAGCGCATCGACTGTGCACTCGCGTGAGTTGATGCTTCCCCTCATGACGCACTAACCCGCACACTGACGCGCTCTCTGAGATTACAGTCACTGAGGTAAATGGAGGAAAGAACACCAGGCACTGTCAACAACAGTGAGTGCGTTGGCGTGGATGGCGAGATACACACACGGGACTAGTGTGGTTTATGAACGCCACGAAGGGATGCATAACAATAAATCCATCTTTTGATAACTTTGCCTTTCTCTCTATCTTCCAGCCGAAAGTGAGTCACCGTGAGAGATGTGTAAATGTCAAGGGAATTAGCTGCCGCCGCCTTATTTACCGGCACCCACGGATGAACCGCTGACAATGGCTGTGATAGGACAGGTTAAAGAACTTTACATCACCTTCACAGAAATCAAGAACCCCTCCACTCCTTCTCTTGCTGGGGAACGCAGAACAAACGTGTTTCTTGTGCCTCTCTTTGTAAGCACATACCTGGAACTTCATTATGTGCTACCACAATAGTCACCCTTCTAGCACGCGTGCTTTTATTATTGCTTCCAGTTGCATTAGGCAGTGTCACCATGACAAATCACATACGTAATCAGAAGCCTACTTTTAACAATAGTAACAATATGCATAAAATACCTACACTTATAACTTTTGTTATGTGAAGTAGAACATTTAATCAAATTACTAAGAATAATTAATAACAAAAAATGTACTTCTTTTTTGAAGAAATATGATGAGATCATTCATGTACCATGATTGATACCTGTTATTTATTTATTATTATTATTATTATTATAATTATTAATATTGTTCCTTGTTTTGTACTATTTGGAAATGCTACATTGTGCAAAAATGATTATACTTCTTTTAATATATACTTTTGCTGGAATTGTTCTGATTCCTAAAATAAAAAGGTTACAATATGCATTACTTGAGATGCAAAGTTGTTGCTTTTTCAGAATATATCTTTATAATCTTTGCAGTAATCTATATACTATATATATATATATATATTTGTAAACATAAATCTGACTAAGTGTTGTTAAACAATGATTAAAACAAGAAAAAAAATACAACCTCATTGGGATTTTTATTTGTTTACTGATATTTAATTTATATAAAAAAATATTTTATATGTAATATTTTAATATATTTTTTAACTAATCTGGCTAAATGTTCTTAAATGGGCTTACAACAGGAAAAAAATGTAACCATTGTCATTTTCTATTTACTTTTTATTTTAATAAAATATAAAATATTTAACATTTTAATGTTTTTAAACAATTATGACTATCTGTACCTTTACTTCTCAACTAATAAGGATGTTTAAACTGGACTAAATGTTGTAAAATGAAGGCTTAAAGCAAGAAAGAAAAATGCAAACTCATTGGCATTTTTAAATTACTTTTTTTTATTTAATTAAATATTATTTAAAAATACTGTTGAAAATGTTTTAACATTTACATTTTTTTACATACATCTGACTGCCTGTAGCTTTGATGTAAGGCAGTGACACTGATGTAAGGATGTTTAAATAGTTTTCATGGAAATCAAGACAAAAATGCTCTATCAATAAATCTTTCCACCGGGACAAGACCACAGGAACCAAATGAGTCCTCTGCACAATGTGACATTGCTGCAGCCTGGAATTGAACTGCTGGTTCGTCTGGTCAGAGGAGAACTGGCCCCCCGACTGAGCCTGGTTTCTCCCAAGGTTTTTTCTCCATTCTGTCACTGATGGAGTTTTGGTTCCTTGCCCCTGTCGCCTCTGGCTTGCTGAGTTGGGGACACTTCATTTCCAGCGATATCGTTGACTTGATTGCAAATGATTGCAAAGATACTATTTAAACTGAACTGAGCTGGATGTTGACATCACTGAATTCAATGATGAACTGTCTTTAACTGAAAAATTAGTGTTTACTATTGTCATTTTGCATTATTGACACACTGTTTTCCTAATTAATGCTGTTCAGTTGCTTTGACACAATCTGTATTGTTAAAAGCGCTATATAAATAAAGGTGACTTGACTTGACTTGACTTTCTGGGTTCATATATGCAAGCATGTGATGTGGAGGCGGAGGGGGCGTTTAGGGAGGATGATCAGGGGGTTTTGGAGAGTGTGAGTTCGGATCAGACGCTGCTTTTTACAGTCTGATATTCAAACCCTTTGTCCTAATGTAGCTCTGTGAAAACTGACTCAGACTGAGGCCTGTGTAGGCAACTTCCTGGCCTGAACTCCACTCAATACGCCCACACAGCCAGCCGGCTCTTTTTAGATACTCAACATTAGGTCTGGCCAAGACTCATCGCAGAGTGTGGACTGCAGGAGACGGAGGTAGGCTGGAAGTGTTTGTGAATAACTTTCGTGGCCCTGACTGAGTGCTTCGCAGACCTACCAGCATAGTGCAAGACGCTACGAAGAGCTGAAGTACAAGTAGATCAAATGCCATTGACTTGTAGTTTTCAATTGGCTCCAATATAAACATGATACAACAGTGCAAAACTATTTATGAGGAAATATTTTTAAAAAATTGTCGTCATTTACTCACCCTCGTGTCCTTCCAAACCAAAAAATCTCAGTGTTTTTGTCTACACAATGAAAGTCAATGGGCTCCAGTGTTGTTTGGGCTTGATTGACTTTCAGTGGGGTCCAATGTTGTTTTGGACCCCACTGACTTTTACTGGGGTCCAATGTTGTTTTGGACCCCATTGACTTTCAGTAGGGTCCCATGTTGTTGTTGTTTTTTTAGGACCCCGTTCGCTTTCAGTGGGGTCCAAAGCTGTTTTGGGCCCCATTGACTTTTGGTGGGCTCCAGTGTTGTTTTGGACCCCATGGACTTTCATTGTATGGACAAAAACAGTTGAGACATCTTTTTGGGTGGACAATATCAACATGTTGATTTGTAACCAGATACTAAACGGTCACTGAGCTTGTTGGTTAAAAAAAGTATCTACATTTGTTATTGCATATAAAAGGACAGTGTGTACCAGTGATTACTTCATCCACGATTGTTCAGTTAGATAATTGCTTAATAATCTGTAGTCTTTTTTTGTGTTATGACATCATGGATGGTAGGTGCTGTTTACTTATGGCGGTTATGACGGAGATGTCACAATGTTCTAAGTGCAAGGCTGCATGCTGTGTACTCAGATTGACTTGTTGCACAAGTACACCTAACTAGCGATTGTTTTTACTCTTTTATTTTTTTTGTCTGCTAAAACAGCCAGCCTGGTAAAGAGCCCAACTCACCACCGCTGATGAAGCACAGCACTTCCTTAAAGACAAGAGAATGCCCACTTCTGTATCAAAAAGAGCATCTCAATCCTCTAATCAAGAGGACTTCTGATAGTCCTTGTTTTGAGGGGCTAAGATGAAAAGATTCATTGAATTAAGGTGTTTTTCTAATGGAACAGATGCACTTGGATATCCTCATGAATAGAGAAGCTTAGACAGTCGCCATGTTAGTTTAAATTAATAATGTGAAATCTGCACAAACACAATTGCTTTTAACATAATTGATATTTACACTGGCTATTTCTGTGTATAATGTGTGATCATAATATTTTATAATACAATGCAAATGTATAAAATTAGTTAGAAATAATTAGAAAGATATTTCAATATATATTCAATACTAAATATATTTGAGTATGAGTATGGTCAGATGACTAGAACCAGAAAAGAATACATGGTGGAAATAGGCTATTTAAAATGAATTTTATGGTTAAATGGGAAAAATGACGGCAAAACTCAAACACATTCTGCATTTTTTGTATTTAACTGATACTACATGACTAAGCTTTAAGCTTGAATCACATGCAGTAGTAACGTCTATGATGTATTGTCTCCGTGGATTCTTTTTGGCACCGGTTTCATGTTTGTGCGGGCTGTAGTTTGCAGTCTGGTTATGAAAGCCAGGGAAGACAAAGACACGTTTTGAGCCAATTCATTTGGAAATTACCCCTCTACCTTCATCCGCCGGCCTAAAATCCCATCCAGAATGTAGTCAACCCCCACACAGATCTGTGACTGCAGATGCTTGGGTAAAAAGAGCAATGCAACAAAAGGGGTGCATAAACTTGAACAAAAAAATGCATAAACCTGTTTATATTATATTCATTATTATATATTATACATTTAGATAGATAGATAGATAGATAGACAGACATATAGATAGACAGACAGACAGACAGACAGAGACAGACAGACAGACAGACAGATAGATAGATAGATAGATAGATAGATAGATTACTGCATAGAACATACCATGCAGTTGGACGTTTTATAAAAACGCAAAACAATGTTCCGATGACAGAGCTTAAATTAAACTGGCTGAACAAAAGCATGAATAGGCGCGATCGCACACAGCGTTTTCAGAGAGGGATCCCTTTTCTTTTCTCGTGCCGGCTGCTTCTCCGCCGTTGCTAGGCGACGGCACTCATGGCCCTCCGCGAGCTTGAGGTGCTTGACACCGATGCAAGGGCCCGTCTGGCTTCTCAGCTGTCATTTGAAATGTAAAGCAAATGAAAATAGACACACAGGCATTCTCAGTTAGCACGGCAAGGACTACCGAAGACATCTTGTGTTCTTTTTTTGCTCTGTCCATTTTTTTTGAAATGGCATTAGTCATGAAAGAGCTGTTGTTTTTCCTAAAAGGTGATGAAAGCGGCACTTGCTTGGGTGACTACAAAGGGCTTTTTATTTGGGTTTATTTGATAATGCAATGAGAAATGTTGTGCTTTTATGTGTAATTCTCTATTCACCTATGTCCTTATAAACACCTATTGCAATATTCATACATAGCTTAGCCTATAAATGCTTATCTTTAGTATAGGGGAAACCGGGGTGTGCGTGTATAATTAAAAAAGAAAAGGAAGAAAATCTAAATATTAGCATTTTATTTTTAAGTCTACTATAAAATAATTGTATTTGTATTTCATTCTAATTTTTTATTTTAAAATATAATAGTATTAAAAAAATGAACTAAGTAAAGTGCAATGATACTATTATTACTATTATTACTATGTGCAGTGTGAGCATCAATCCAAATCTCCAGGTGCTCTCATGAGAACCAGACCGTAAAACGTATGTGCACCCCTGGCCATTAGGCTAAATTTAAGCATCAAAACTATTGTTTAGTATAAAAAACATTTACAAACGCATCACCTGGAATGGTTATTGAAAAACACCTTGTGTCATTGGAACAAAGTTAATTTTCATTTACAAACTGCCTTTTTTTCTAACCCAAAATCTATAACAAAAATATTATGATACTTTTAGGGTTTAAAAACAAAAAGTAAAGGTTGAAATCACCAATTTCTATAGAGCAATGGCTGTTCTCTTTCATAGGTTCACTCAGCACTGCGTAGCTATGATGCATTGGGAACACCCCTTGTGTGCCGATTGTCTGAAGCCCGTATGAAATCATGCCAATTCACGCCACCTCGACGTCAGTATGTCATCCAGTCTAATACTGGCAAACACGCCATCCGCTCCTCAGATTTCCTTTAGGGATGGGCGATACCACTTATTTTGTTTTCGATATGATAACGATACTTTTAAAGGCCAGTATCGTCAATATCGATACCAATACGATACTGTAATGTGGTGTTTGGGTTTTGTTTCATGTTCAGGTTTTCATGTCTTTTATTTTGTAATTGTTTCACCCTGTTAGTGTCATGCTTCCCTTGCCCTCATGTATCTCTGCCTTGTGTATGTGTCATGTTCTGATTGGTAGTCTTAGTCATGTGTCTTGTTCCCCATTGGTTTGTTCATGTCATGTGACCCTCCTTGTCTGCTATAAGTAGCCTTCATGTTCCCATTGTGCCCTTGTCGTGTATTGATGTTGTAACCCACTGTCGGTGAGTCTAGTCTGTTCATGTCAAGTCAAGTCTGTTCATGCCTCGTCAAGTCAAGTCTGTGTATCATGTTTGGATCACACTGTAAATAAACTGCACTTGGGTTCTCACTACGCTCGCCTTCAGTGGACTGACTCGTTACAGATACTTCTAAGCTGAACTTTTAAATTAAGAATTTTTTTTAAATTATTAAATTACTAAGAGTAAAATGGGTAATGATACCCACTTAACTTTATATTTGAAACTCATTTCAATACACTTTAATTGCAACTTATTAGGTTATATTTTTGTTTACACGTGGTTAAAAATGTTTATTGTAGTGGTAACCATGGAAATCTACAAATACTATAGTTGAACTTAGGTCACTTTAGTAAAACCATGGTTAATTTTCATAGGGGCTGCCAGTGAAAGGCTGTTGCATGCATAAAATGCAACCTTTTTTATTCTGACTGTATGATTTTGTATTAACATTACAGAATAACGTAATCAATATGGACTTTTAATGTTCAATTTAAATAAATGTAATTGCACAAACTATGTAGGCTACAATTTCAATTTGTTTATTGTAAAATAACTCAAACATATATGTTTTTGTCTGTCCTCTGATGAGCATTGCTCTGGACTGCCGTTCGCAAAAGCATCAGTAGCTATGTTTCCATCACCCTGTTTTTATGCGCATTTTGAAGTATCGCATCAGAAAAGAGTGATGGAAACAGCACATTTCGAATAAAAAATCCCTTAATTCGCAAAAAAGTTTTTACGCTGGCTTGAGGTGGTTTTTGACTTGTACGAAAAAGGGTTAATGCGAATAAAAGGAGATGGAAACGCATTTGCCGTGTAAATTCCTCCATGCGCATAAAAAAAGTCATGTGACTGCGCTATGGGATGGCAAAACCTAACCAGTGGACCAATCTCGTTCCTCAGCATCTGAAATGTTATGGTAATTTTGAAATGTCCAAGCAAAGTCTGTCATCAACGTATTTCTGTATAATTGCCTCCCAGAACTGTTACAGGACTGCATTCCCAAACAGCAGCATTCACCTCCGAAAATCAATGACCGCATTTATTTTGTGTCGTCTGCTCGCTCTGAGGCGCAAGTAATTTATTATATAGGCCTATGAAAATTATTATATTCAGGGGTTTCTCCTACTTTTCATAGTGATATATAGCCTAGCGCCAGTTCTACCAGGAAGTGACAATTTTGTTCTCTTTGACTCGAGAAATGGTGCTTATTCGCAAATGTTTTACGTGATATTTCAATTTTGCGCATAAGTTAAATTCGCAACTTTGGACGGAAACCCGGCTAGTGATACTTTTGGGAAACGCAGCCCTGTTTGAATGCACTGTCAGAAGTGAGCGAACGCTCTCTGCGATTGATTGGTTCTGTCTTGCAACATTTACGTGTGTTCAAATGAACATGAAAATAGTTTTATCCTACACAATTATTTGCTAACACATGTTATTAGTCAAATTCAATGCATATAGTATGCATTAATTTTTTGTTAAATGAACAAAATCACTGGTAAAAAAAACACCTTAATATCGATATTTTTTTTTATTTGAGTATCGATACTTTCGATACTCCCATCAGTATCGATATATCGATACTTCTTGATCGATACGCCCATCCCTAATTTCCTTCCTTCAGAAGCGATTTATCTGGCCCGTGTTTTGGCTTATTTCTTCAAGTTTTCTCTTTTGCACTTCAGCGACTGCATTCAGTGGAACCTTGGAGTTTCGCCACTGCCAGCCGCTGTGCTCTTGCTTTATTGCGAGCGATGACCCGCACAGTAAGTGTGTTAAATGTATGGGTTTGTGCTCTTTATGGTACTTCTATCTGCAAAATTTGTTTTGAAACTCAGAGAATCTCCGTATCAAAACTCTTTGCATGAGGTTTGCGGTTTTTGAGAAGGAGTCATCCGTTTTCCCCCGTCGTGCTGCTCTGGAGGCTGCTGAGGCCTTCCGTGAATCCGCGACCTGGGGCTCGAGGCTATAGAGAGTGAGCAGACGGGACTCCCCCTTTCTCTCCTTCTCTCGGATTCACCGGTGGAATTTATCCACGATTATTTATGTCCCAGCCCAGGGGCACGCGAGGCCATTTTCCTTCAGGTTAGATGACGTTTTGTACACCATCCGACTTTGAGGATTTCGGGCCCACTCCAGTCGACGCTCTCCCACTTAGCGGCCAGGAGGCGTGGCCTTCTGCAGCCTATACTGAGCTAGTGGACATTTAGTGCGTGCTACTGAAAAGCTTAGTATTGAGTGGCCGGACAAACCACGTGAGTTCCAGTCCTCTAAGCTCGATGATCATTTCTTAAGTTGGCCCTAATTCTTGTCCCACATGAAGAAAGCTGCTGTTTTTCAGTTATCTGCATCACGAAATCTCCAGATCCTGGAAGCAGCCTTTCTCTGCTCGCCTTACTAACACGGTGGCCGCTGACTTCACCAACCTAGTGGATTCTGTGGAGCAGGGTTATGCTGCTATTCAGGTGATCGAGGACACGCTGGCCGCTCACCTCTCACCGTCTTTGGCCCCCTAATGGAAGTCCTGCCCTCTCCTCCCAAATAAGCAGTGTAGGAACATGTCCACCCTCATCGTCTGACATGGTGGCAGGCCAGGTGGGCATGGTGCTTTACACCATGGCCATCCTTCAGGCTTATCAAGCTGATGTCCTAAAGGAAATGGACAAGGGAGGGGGCCTGACTCCAGAAGCGGTCAAAGAGCTTCTTAAGGCTACAGACCTGGCGCTGCATGCAACTAAGCACACTGAACGTACAGTTGTGACAACTTACCCATATTACATCTAGCCTTGGTCTCCACTATATACAATGAATTGATTTAATTCAAAACAATGTAAACACCTACAGCACATATCTTCTCAACTGCATGTGTTTCTTGTATATGGGAGAAATAACATGTGCTACTATCAATGGGTGTGACATGGTCACAAAGTGACAGTAAAAACACAAAGGATGCATACATACAGATAGGCGTGATATCCTGAAAGAAATAGTTGACCCAAAAATAAAAATTCCTGACAGTTTACTTACTCTCAGGTAACACACACTAAACCCTGTTCAAACAATCCTGCCACTCTAGAAAGGCCATATTTTATGAGGTCAGGGTCAAAGGCCCAAAAGACATATAATTTCCCCTTTTCCAGATGCAGACGAGTGAGGGCTCAGGAGAGGAGCTGGTTTCAATCACCAGGGACGGCAGGGAGTTGACTTCCTCTGAAGTTTAAACATAAAGGTGATTTAAGACAAACAACTAAACAAGGGAAGCTGCACATTCTTCCCTCTGTGCTAATAGCTCTTTGGAGAATCCAATCTCCTCTTCTGGCCCCCTACTACCTTGCTAATTTCTTACACACGTCTACCTGCAATAATCATTGTATGAAAGTATCAGTACTTCTTATTGTATTGTGTTGATGAACATTTGTAATTGCTGTTTTTTTTAGGTAGCACAACAAATTTCTTCAGTTTAAATGTGAAGTGGGCTAGTGCCACCAAAACAAAACAGAATTATAAAAAAACAACTACATTTTTCCATTTTGTCATGGTGCTCACAATACTCTAATTCATGTTTGTAGTGTAAATGGTGTGTAACAAGTCACATGCCATCATGACGTTTGATCATGTGACATGCGAGAACCAATGAGGTTTGATACTGGTTTACGTTTGAGGTTTATGTTGTCATATTTGACCCAAAATTTATGTCTTTGAATGTTTTGTATCTTTTACATAATATGCCGAAAAAGATATGAAACATTTTTTAAAAATATTTGCTTTTTGTATTCTGCAGATGTAAAGAAAATAATACCAGTTTGGAACGACATTTGAGTGAGTAAACGATGATAGAAGTTTAATTTGTGGGTGAACTATTCCTAAAGAAAAAGAAGTACACTTTAGCATACTTTTAAAAACATTACTTATTACAGAAATAATAAAATTCAAGAAAATGTGCTAATTGGATGCAATGTTTTGACATATAGTTGACATAGGTTAAGTAGGACTTGAGTAGGCTACATCTTTATATGTAATTTTATAATTATTTCTAATTGAAATATGGTTCAAGTGTACTGCAGAATACTGACAAGCATTTATCATAATTAAAAATATACTTTAGTGTATTTAAATACGTTTGTAAGTACACATTTGTACTTGAAACATTACAACTACAATTAAAATTGAGATTAAAAAGAACTTTACATGTGCTTTAATATGTTAGTCAATACATCAAAATGAGTGTACTTTAAAGCACGACAAATGTTATCAAAACAATTAATTTAAAATGTACTTTAATGTAAAACTTTTAATTTAACATCATTACAGTGCTTTTTTTTTAAAGTGTACTTGAGAAACAGTCGTGAAAGTGTTTCTCTTTGAGTACACTTAAGTGGCCTTTTCATTAATATCCTATTATCTGGAAGTACTATTTAAAAAAAAAATATATACTAACCAGATTTGAAGTACACTCCAAGGGGACATTCAATACAATTAAGCACACTTATTTTTCACAAGTTCTATCCTTTGAAACAGGGGTGTGTCTACGTGGTGGCCAGGGGTGGCCCCCCTGAAATCTGTCTGGCCACCCCAGGTGCCCCCCCCTACCAGATATCTTGCGATAGGCTTGTTTTTAGTAAATTTCTAACTGCATCTAGCAGTGGCGGATCCTGTGTAGGCAGCTGCCTAGGGCCACTTTCTTCTCTTCTTTATACTTAATTTTAAGCGGTTTCTATAGCGTGATCTTAATGACAAATGTCGAGAGCGCATAATGTTACGTGCTTCTGAAATTAATGAGGGTGCTCTAGTGTTAATGCACATTTTCACATATTATGTCCCATCTATTGCTATGGTTATCACTATGTCAATCACTACTACTTCGAGAGTGAATCCAGCATAAATATGCGGATGTCATTCCCGAAACTTTGCAACGTGTGTGTGGCCGAAAAACAAAGTTCTACATTAATGGATTATAGACTAGAAACTAAAGCTTGCAAAGAGTGCTCATAACCAGTGTTGGGGAAAGTTACATTTAAAAGTAATGCATTACAATATTGCGTTACTCCATAAAAAAGTAACTAATTACGTTACTTAGTTACTTT